TTTGGGATCGATTCTAGTAATTAAGTGGACCTGAGTTCCATTTACGAAATAATCCAAGTGTAATGGATGGTTCCAAATATTAAAATACTCGAACTGACTTTGCTGATGCCGACCTAACTACACATCAAATTACTTCTCATTTATTATTCACATTTCTCATCTTATTATAATCTCCTTGTAAGTTCTCGTTTTTTTAAAGAACTTTTGTTCAAGAATAAGACGACAAATGATCATATTTTATGTTACTCGAGAATTTATCCAATCTATTTTAACATTATCAAAAAATGTTTTTTCCAGTTAGAAGAGTTGTTTTCTTATTGCGGATTGATAACGTGTAACTTAACCTTCAATTAAATTGGCAACTAATTCAAATCTTATTTTTTAGTAAATTTCGACGAAAGTATTTTGAAGTAATTATAAGTGAAACTCTTCCCTTTCATTAAAAAAAAAAAGACTTCTTTTATCCAAATAAGTAACTCGTTTACCAAGACATATAGGGCTCTACACCCAAAAAAATAGCAAAGCATGTTTGGAAGTTGTTTGCAAAGTTTAAATTATAAAGGGAAATTGGCAAAAAAAAAAAAAAGTCCTTAACTTATGGCATTGTTTTGTGCATGGTCCCTAACTTCTTAATCTTGACGCAAACAACTTTAACCTTTTACTTACGGGGTGTTTGGTAGTGATTTGAGAATTGATTCTCAAATCAATTTTCATTTTTAACCACACATTTTTCAATAAAATAATATTTTCTATCACATCAATAATTTTTTCTTCTTTTTCANCAATAAAATAATATTTTCTATCTCATCAATAATTTTTTCTTCTTTTTCAACCACACATTTCTCATCATATCACTATTCAAAAATCAATTCTTCCCCCAAAAATCCCTACCAAACAAGCCCTTAATGAGCATAATTAGCCTTTTTGGATGGTTTCAATTTTAATCGATAGTTAAAAGGGTAAATAGCACAGAACGTTCATACTTTTTAATGTCATTGTGCAAAACGTTCATACATTTCATTTTTTGACATTTTCACCCCTACCTTCCACATTTCATTGCTTAAAAGGTCTTTTTCAACCATTTTTTCAATAAAATGATGATTTTATCCTTCTATTCAAATGGAAAAAAAAAAACAATTAATTGTAATTATAGTCCTAAATTTTTCAAAATATTAAAGATAAATCCTAAATTCTCTACCACCACCACAACTTTCACAATCCCACCAAGCCGCCACCTATCCACATAGCACCACATTCTGGCTACCACGCCTGCCAAACTCCACCACCACTATAGTTGTAGTTGGTTATGCATCTTTTTCTTTTTCTTTTATTTGAATAGGAATGAATTGTCTTTTATTGAAAAAATGGTTGAAAATGACCTTTTACGCAATGAAAGGTGAAAGGTGAAAAGCAAAGGTAAAAATGCTAAAAAATGAAATGTATGGACGTTTTGAACAATGACATTGAAAGGTATGAATGTTCTGTGCTATTTACCCATAGTTAAAAAGGTCAAACTTTTGATATAGAGATTAGAATGTTCTTACTTTAGTTAAGTAAACAAATTAAATTAAGTAAAAAGGAAAAATAAAAAATATAAGATGAAAGGAAAAGTCAACTCTTCCTACCAATCAATCAATCTTTATCTTCAATGCAATTGTCAATTGCTTATAGAATTGTCATATAAGCAAAATAAAATGTGTAATTTTTTTTTTTTAATCTCTAATTCAAGTCGTACGAACTCCGTGAAAATAATGTGGTAGAGAAATGATAGTCGTCTAAATTCAAAAGCTCAATTAGATATCCCAACTCAGCAAAATTTATAAATCAAATGTAGATTTAAATGTGATTTTATTAATATTTTAAGAAAATAAAGACACATAAATAACAAGTGGGTTGAAAATCAATTTTGAACTTAGTGACTACTTATTATATACCAAATGGCATGTATATTCAATTTTTTTTTTTAATATTTTCTTTTTTACTACCACATCTTAAGAGAGTCCTCATGACAGTTTTTTTTACTTCACATTTTAAAGCATGGACTTGCAGTGAAGGTGCACTTATGAAAAATTAGTTGGTAGGATGAGATGCATTTTATTAATTTCATATATTTTTTAATTTTTTGATTTTAACTTATTTTATTTGATTTTATTATGCTATTTATTTTGCTATAATTAAGGGCAGTTTAGAATTTTTTTAATTATAAATAAATAAATAAGCGAATATTAATTGATTTGATAAATATGTGGATAAACGTAGTTTGACAGATTATAAAATTTATAAAGGGTGGGTGGACCCTGGCTCCTGGGAGGCACATCCTGCGATTTACCTCTTTCACAATGGCCCAGGGCAGGGTCGGTGGGGGGCCCTCAAGGTTGGGGTTCAACCTTTTTTTTTTTTTATAAAGGGTGGGTGGAACTCTAGAAATCTATTTTTTATACTCACTAGTCTAATATTGGGTAAATTACTAGTACGCAAAAACATGTTTTGGACAAAAGTTGAAAATAAAAGGAGAAAATACTTATTTTTGTGCATGAGTAATTTTGAATTGTGAACTCAAAAAAAACAAGTTTAGTAGTGTAAAATATAGCCAATCCATTTTGACACCGCTATATAGAGTTCAATTATTGTCATCAATCATGATATTGATACAACCTCTCATTATGAGTTTATGAATATAATAGTAAATCCAGTTCACGTTTCAAGAAAAATATGCGTATGTCTGACAAGTTTAACGATAAGTAAAAGTTGACTCTTTGGCTACTTTTTGTACCAAACATATAATTTTTAACTTATTTTTATGGGTAACCAATACAAAAAGGCTAAACATCATAAAACCTAATATCTATCCTTGTTGCCCCCACTTTTTGGAAATAGTACAAAATGTCTATGTTTCAAACCTTTTTGGGGGAATACCCTCACGTTTTGGAAATAGTATAAAACGTCTATGTTTCAAATGTCTTCACATTTCATCCTCTGATCCTCACATCGTTAAATTCCAATAAAGAGGGAAAAATGGGAAAAAAGAAAGGACAAAACCCCCCACCTATTGAAATTAGCGGAAAATGTCTATGACGTTTATTTTCTCAATAAAAANTTTTTTTTTTTATAAAGGGTGGGTGGAACTCTAGAAATCTATTTTTTATACTCACTAGTCTAATATTGGGTAAATTACTAGTACGCAAAAACATGTTTTGGACAAAAGTTGAAAATAAAAGGAGAAAATACTTATTTTTGTGCATGAGTAATTTTGAATTGTGAACTCAAAAAAAACAAGTTTAGTAGTGTAAAATATAGCCAATCCATTTTGACACCGCTATATAGAGTTCAATTATTGTCATCAATCATGATATTGATACAACCTCTCATTATGAGTTTATGAATATAATAGTAAATCCAGTTCACGTTTCAAGAAAAATATGCGTATGTCTGACAAGTTTAACGATAAGTAAAAGTTGACTCTTTGGCTACTTTTTGTACCAAACATATAATTTTTAACTTATTTTTATGGGTAACCAATACAAAAAGGCTAAACATCATAAAACCTAATATCTATCCTTGTTGCCCCCACTTTTTGGAAATAGTACAAAATGTCTATGTTTCAAACCTTTTTGGGGGAATACCCTCACGTTTTGGAAATAGTATAAAACGTCTATGTTTCAAATGTCTTCACATTTCATCCTCTGATCCTCACATCGTTAAATTCCAATAAAGAGGGAAAAATGGGAAAAAAGAAAGGACAAAACCCCCCACCTATTGAAATTAGCGGAAAATGTCTATGACGTTTATTTTCTCAATAAAAAATTGAAAATGACAAATATACCCTCCTATTTAAATAAAAAATAAAAAAAATTAATTTCAACTGCTGTCCAATTTTTTTTTCCAAAAAAATGCAAATATATCCCAAATAAGTAATTAAATTTTTTTTTAAAAAAATCTTTAAAAATATAAAATAGCGCCCTAAAATATATGCTTACAAGACTGTTGCTAAACTCAAACGGGTGGTTGAATAATTGTAATAAAATGGCATGAAATAGAGGAAACTAAAAACCATTCACATTTAGTTGGGCATATGTAGTCCACGATTAGCCCTCATCGCAGGAGAAAGAGCACCGTTGTCGGTCATGACCACTCAGAGAAAAAACTCTCTCTTTATCCTTGGGAACGGAATGAATGATTTGAATGGGATTGGGGGTGGAATTGGGGAAAAACAGTGAGATTTTTTTTTCTTTTTTTGTTAAGGAAGATAATGAAGTATGGGGTGAGGTGGGAATTTTTTTTCCTGGTTATTTGGAGATTATTTATTTATGTATTTGGGGCTTGTTTGAATTTATTTGAAAAAAATTGGGACTATAATTGAAATTATTATTTTCTTTTCTTTTCTTCTTTTATTTTTGTTTTATTTAAATACGATGATATTCATCATTTTCAATCTTTTTATTGAGAAAATAGATAACATTGACCTTTTTCGCTAATTTCAATAGGTGAGGGGATTGTTGCACATCATGTCTAATAGATGGGGAGTTTTGTCCTTTCTTTTTTTCCCATTTTCCTTATTTATTAGGATTTAACGATGGGACAAACAGAATGCGATGACGGGGGGTATTCCACGTGAAAGATTTTAAACATGGACGTTTTGTGCTTTTTTCAAAACATAGGGGGTTTTTGACTGAAGGGGCATTAGGTAGGGGGTTTTGTTCTGTTTAGTCAATACAAAAACTTATTTATTTTAGAACTTATTTCTTTAAATTATGTGTAAACTTTATACGCTTAGCCAAATATTCTTTAACATCACCTTCTGATTTTGCTCAATAAACATCAATCTTCTTCTGCTATATTAATTTCCCACAACAATTACATTTTACTAAAAAAATCTCAATTCTCCCCAAAAACCACCTAAAATAACTACATTACTTATAAAGAAATTGAAAACTCTAATCTATTAAAACTCACAATTGTTCAAACAAATGTGATTCAAACTCAAATTTGCTACAAAAAACTCAGCAGGCGGGCAAATCACTAGGAGGTGGAAGCACACACTGCGACGGTTTTGGTCCGTTTTCAACTATAAATCCCATGGCTAAACCCCAAGTTGTATGTTCTTCAAGATGGCAATGTATAAACCATACTCCTGGATTGTCTGCATTTAGCCTAATTGCAGCCCACCCTCCCATTGGAACTGCCACTGTGTTCCTCTCTGGAGGATCCACCAGATTGTAATAACTTGGATCATTGGAAGAATCGAAATTCCCGAATCCCCTTCCAACGACAAAGAAATTGTGTCCATGAACATGGATTGGATGGTTTTCTGGATTCATAAAGTTTGTATCTTGTAGCACTATTTCTAGTCTTGTGCCATAAGGTACCTCGATAAGTTTCGTGCCAAACTCAGTATTCATGTTTTCCGACAGGGGATCCACGCCAGTGTAGTTAAATTCGTGTGGTGGCTTTCCCGGGAAGTTTAAGGAAAGTCCTGCCCCGAGTTTCTTGTAATGTGTTTCGAGTAACGACATGGAAGGACGAATGAATGATTGGTTGTTCATCGATGCGTAGAATCTTTTGCCTCTATAGCCTTTACATGTTTGATTGGGAGCGCAATCTTGCAGATTTAGGCTTATAGTCGTGATGACTCGTCTGTCGACTTTCTTGGGAACTCTGCACGGATATTCGGCTGATGAAAGACTGCGGAGTCCATTCAAGAAACGCGTGGCGAATCCCGTGTCCTCCATTGGAGGGAGATTATGAGGTAACGGTGGCACTGGCAGTAGCATTGGAGTCTGCTTTTCCTTCTTGAAATTCGAGGTTTTATATTTCAAGAAGCCAATAGTGATTGAATTATCAAATGGGAAAACTGAAGTGAGATAAGGCCTAGCAGCCATGACAAACATGTTTGTGGAATCTGGGATTTGGTTTGCTGTCAACAGTACGTTTGTTGTTTGTCCAGGGGCAATCATTATGGCTGATGTTTCAAAGGGTTTGGTATAGACAGCATCAATTTCTACAACAGTTAATGTATGATTTGCCACAGCAAAGAAAAACTCAGAATTTAGAGCTGCATTAATGATTCTTAGCAAGTATGTTTTGCCTGGTTCAACTCTCTGGATGAATGTATCTGCAATTACATTTAAAATAAACATATTTGAGAAAAAATTAGAATTTTGCCAACGTTGTAGAAAAGGTTCCGAACATATGGCATATGTAGCAAGTTAGTCACCAAGCCCCTGTTTGACAGAGCCATTTGAGATTATAAGCAGGCAAAAAGCGAATAAAAAATTGTGGATCCGATAAAATGTGTTGTTAAAAATAAAGTTTGACCGGTTTATAATCTCAAAAATACTGTATCTGACAGAACATGCCAAATGGAGGCTTGCTGATCAATCATGATTTAAAGGTTTGCAATCTACTCTCTGTGTAGATGAGTAGATTATAAGTTGAGATTACTGAGAATCAAAGACAAATTAATCAAGAATTTAACATATCAAAGAAATCGAAAGTCTTCGAGATTTACCTTTGTTAGAACAGGGGTACAATGGCCCGGGTAAACCATTAATCGTGTAAGCATCAGAAGAATTAGGTCCACCACCATACAACATCATGTCATTTTCAATTGCTTCAACTTCTCCATTCCACCATTCACCTGTGTTCATATTTCCCGAGATGTTAAAAGCCAAGAATTGTACGACGTTATCTGGTTCATGAGTAATCGAGCAAACATAACGTACCAAAGATGACAGGAATATCAGGTCGAACCGGAGTGGGACTAAATGGATATGGCATGCGAGGGTAAATGATGAAAGCCCCATAAACTGATGCACGTTGCCATGAAAAATGGGAATGCCACAAAAGGGTACCCCTTTGATCAATTACCGTGAATTTGTATGTATAGGATTTGCCTGCTCCAATTGGGCATTGGGTTATGTATGCTGGCCCGTCCGCCCATCCCGTTTGCAGCTGCCTTACGCCATGCCTGTGCCACGATATTGTCTATCAAAGACATTTTTTGGCTTGTTTGGTGAAGTGTACTAATTATTGAACATACTTACCAATGGATGGTAGTGTTTCTGGGTATTCGATTATTGACCTTAACTTGGACATTGTCCCCTTCATGGACGATAATAGTTGGCCCAGGATACTTCCCGTTCACTGTTAGAAGAGACTTCGTGTGACACAAACGTGTTACGTTCCTCCACTCAACCTGCACGAAGATATACCTACACAGTAAATATATAGTCCAAGTATCCATGGACACACGCTATCAAAACCCGCCATCTGTATCGAAAATGTTTTGGACGGAAAATTTGGCATTGGCATAATCTTTTTGTGTGTGATACATACTCATGTGTAAGTACAACTTACATTGAATTGAAAAAGCCTTGTAGGTGGTGACGAAGAAGAATGCATTGGCAATGCAACTATGAAGATTCCAAGTAGCAGAAGTAATTGATAAAAGCTCTCCATTTCTCTCTTTCTCTAGGCAACTTGATACTGGTCAAAGAACGCCTGATCTCTTCACCAACCAGTTTCTACACAATTTCCCTATGCATGCAAGTATTTATATAGGGAGTTCCGGGGGAAATTAGCTCACTTGATTTTGAGAACCTTTCCATTCATTATTTATTTTTTATAAGAATACGTGGTGATGAAAATGGAAAATGAAATGTGACATGACACCGCATAACCCTTTGTAACATTATTTCTTAAAATAAAGTAGGACACAAATCCTAGAGAAGATGCTATATAGAAAAATTATATTTTATTGATTTCAATATTTAATTCTTCAAAAGATACTTTTCATTAATTCATACTCAAGAAAATTTGAAACTAAATTATTTTAATTTTTTATTGAAGTTGGACTAAAGAAAAAGTTCGTATTAATGGGAAATTCTTAATTCATATCCCTTTCCATCCCATAAAGATAGACTTGTTTTCTTTTTATTTGTCGTAAAAACCACTTTTCTTATTAAAACTATAATTAATTTCTTAATTTTCTAATATGCCCTCGTTTAATGTGCATTATTATCAGCAAATATGAACTATTATTATTGAATGTAAAGGATATTTTAGAAAAAAACGTAAGTAAAATTTATATTCTAACGATTTGTGGGGTCATTGAAATGTATGATACAAAATAAAGTTTGATCGGCGTAAAATCTGAATAAAGTTTTACCAAACATTGGCTTACTAAAAAATGAAAAATATTAGAAAACATTATTGGAGTTTCCATAACGATGACTTCAAGGGAAAATTTATTGGGAACAATTATAAAATATTGTAGCATTTGTAATATTATTGAACTTCCGCCTTGTTTGAAAAAATAAAAAATAAAAATTCATATTTAAATTTTGTCCTCACTAGACCTAATTCTCCGCCCCTGATTAGAGGCTAAAGACTTTTATAAAAAATATTTCTTCTTTCAGCTAAAAGTTATATTAAAAATATAATATTATATATTCTTTTCAATTATTATTTCATTAAGCAAATATTGCTAGAGATACAAGTTACAATAAAATTATTTACTTGTGCCCCTTTTCGAGCCCCATTTCATCACAAATTCATTTTTTCAAATCTCAATTTCCATCACAGATTCTCTAATAAAATAATATTACACGTAAATCGAAATTTTTTTCTTTTTCGTTTTTAACCACATATATTTCAAAAATCACTATTTAAAAATGCATTTTTCTCTCAAAATGGGGCTCAAACAAGGCAGTATTTCGACATGCCCTTTACATGATGCAACATTCATTTTCTCTCTTCGGGCAAATATAGTTTTATTTCTTCAACCCGTTGATCGTACGCAAGTTGCATTCATTTATAATTAAATGTCTAATATCTGCATAATTTTCATTATAAACAACTAGAATTTATATTTGTTTTATTCAACAATTCTCCTTTTAGTCTGCATTTTTGCTTATAAGTGAATTTTTAGTTAAAGTTATATTTTTTTTCACTTATAGTGAAATTCTTAACTCTTATTTACATGTAAGTATTTATATAATTAAATTTAACTATTTTTCTTAATCCATAAATTGATGATTAAATAATACGGCCTAAACCCAACCCCGACATAACTTATTATTTTATACGATTGAATAAAGGAGGACAAGCATTCCAAATTAATTTAATCTGAATATTAATTGTATCAAACACCGAACAAGGATGAAATAGAATTATTGTAGTTCTTATCTGGTCTAATATGATGTGCCCAAGGTGTCCTTAACATAATTATAAACATAAAAATAATGTACAAATACAACATCTTTAATAAAAATGAATATAATTTGCATGTGATATAACGTATTGATAATTTTGAACAATAAACATGTCGTGTCTATAAAATCCTAAGAATTCAGATGAAGTAGTTCAACGTACATTAAAATTGGTCACATTTTACATTAAAAAAATCGTCTCTTATAAAATAAAATTACGATTTGAGAAGAAAAATATTTTAGAGGGTCTTTTACAAAAGAAAGAAAAAACAAAAAGGAACCAAACTCTATGAGTGGGTTGGTGTGGAGGGAATGAAGACAAATTTAGAATACGGGACACAGAGTGTCATTTGGTAGCTCATATAGTGCTTCTAAATGATTCTTTATTTCTCATTTTCCAATGATGGGGCATGGCGGGCTATAGAGAGAGTGAGAGGGAGATTTGTGCAGAGATTGCAACCACTTATGTCACCATTTTCCACCTAATTGTGGAGCCTCGATTAGTCAAAAATGGTGACTACCCGAGATTCCCATCAAAATTTGCATTATATATTATTATCATCTCTTATTGGTATCAAGTGGCAATTTGTATTCCAAAGCATTGCAAAATTTTGGTGGAGGGGGGAGAGAGAAGTATTTTTTATTCCTATTTTCCAAATTAGAGTTCTTTGTGTGTACTCGAAGATTTCGGTGTAATACACATTGTTATATATATATATATATATAGTTGATGAAAATGATTACTTTTTTCAAATTGTAGAAAAACCCTTGTTTCATCTAAAAAAGATGATAATTCTTTTCTTTTTGGTGATAAAATACTTGTATTTTGAATAAACTTTAAATAGGACGAGTAAAAGGTGCGTGGATCATGTTTTCTGTACCCAACCCGCTCCTTTCTCGAGACAAACGACCATCTTCTCGGCCCCATCCCGACTACCCGATTAGGCAGGGACTTGTCACATTCGAGACAAAGCCCGCGACTATTGGATATAACTGAATTTTTTGCCATCACTACTTTTATGACTTGTAGGGTTTCACCAATTTTAGAGCTTTCCACATGGGTTATATTATTCTTTTTATTGTTATTAATATCTATTATTATTTCTCTGTTTTTGAGAGTATTTTTAGAAGCTAAAGGTTATAAATGTAATTTACCTTATTTGTTTCATTGAACAAGGTGGGTAGGTAGGTTATACTTGTCGGGTAGGTGGAGACGGCGGGATGAAATTTCTTTAGGCCAAAAGCTGTAAATCACATTAAGATGGGACCAAAAGTTGTGGAATTTCCTCAATCCACCAATTGATTATGATTGTAATGATTTGTTAAAGTTGTTTTTACTTTTTGGACTAGTGCATGAATGTAACCCACAATCGAACGTACAAGTTCTAGTTGTTACATGTGTGCCAAGTGGGTTCGATTTTGATATGATGGTCATGTCATCACTTAAAAGGTTGACTTTAAATATTATTGCAATCGAGAAATTTAAGATCGGTCGACAAATTATTGTTTTTACAAAGTTCGTCCAACTAAAGTGTATTAGACACGTAAATTAGTGTGACAAAGAAAAATGCTACTTGTACACTTTTTTTTTCTAACATGATTGTTGACATTGCAAGAGTTGGCAAGCGTTAATTAGGTGAAAAAACTGTGAAAATTCTAAATTGTCTACGGATGTGTTGTCACGTGGTAAAGTGTAAAAAATAATGTACATGTATGATGATTGATTATAAAACCCGAGAAAACCTATTGGTTGATACTATGTGGCACCTCTGAATTTGTGTTTATGGTAGTACAAAATCAAGCTCAATAAAGTGTGAGAAGATGCTCAAACTACTCTTCTATAGGCGTCTAATCCAATGTCACCCTCATTGACTAAAACCACAATTGCATTAGGTCATAAATATCTTACTTAAAAATTTGACACACACAATTAATCATGACCTTTAATTTAAGTTAATCCAACGATCAATATGTATTTCGTTAAGATCACGAGAGAGATTGTTATAACTACCTGAGATCCATAAGATATTGGACGTTAGATTGACTAATTAAATTAAATATCACGATTATTTGTCAAATAAGTATGTCAAAAATTTTAATACAAGGAACGGTCCTGTATAAATATATCCCTAAAAAATATAGAGAAAATTATTATGAAATTAAGATAAAAGTGTGAGATAATGGACCAAAATGTCAAGAAATTCATAAAAAAAAATTGTTGGAACTACTCTTCTATCCTAGTCAAGAAAGGTCATGTAAAGCCAAAAAGAGTAAAGTAACAAAAAAAAGTGATGGATAATAAAACAATTTTTCCATTATCAAAATATTTGTATAATAATTTTAATTTTATATTATTACTAGTTGGACCTATTCATACACGTGGTAGTTGATTGAGGGATAAAAATGTATTCTATTTACATAAATGTGTAGTAGTTTGTTAGTGGAATGAGAATAAGATGTAAAAGAGAATAATAATATTATTATTTGTCCAAAAATTGCAATTAAAGAAATGTATTTATACTTCACATTATTCAAGGTGGTGCACTTCAATAGAGATTTTAAACCATTATTATTTGTCCAAAAATTGCAATTAAAGAAATTTTTTGACATATGTTTCATTTTCTAATAACTTTATGTCTAGACGTATTTTTAAGAACACCAATTTCAATCTATTAGATGTTGCCTATTAGACATTGTGGGGCTTTCATATCTTGTCACGTCCGAGTCCCTGTTAGATCTCATTTTTTTTAAAACTCATTTTCAACTAAATTCTTTTATAAAATAATTTTACATGTAAATCTAGAATTTTTCTCTATATTTTAACTATATACCCTTCAAAAAAATCATTATTTCAAAATATATTTTCCCCCCCCCCCCCCTCCCCCCCGAGCCCATACAATTGTTAAATTCGAGACAAATCCAATAGTAGACCATCACTCACCAATTCTTTACACAAACACAC